GAATTTGTCAAAACCAAAAAAAACCCCCCCCCCCAAAAAAAAAAAAAAAAAAAAAAAAAAACAACAATAGAGAACCGTAATAAACTGAAAGCTAATGGGGCAACAACGTAATATCAAGAAACTTGTTTGGTCCAAATAAGAATAAAAGAGAACAGTGGTCAGCCAAAGAAAGACACCCAGGTCCACTAGACTCAGAATAAGAGAGAGAGAGAGAGAGAGAGAGAGAGAGAGAGAGAGAGAGAGATGTCACAATATAGGTCGCGACTTTGATAGGTGCGACTGATGTCGCAATTCCAGCAACTGACGAAGACGACGTCGAAGAACTGATGTCGTAACTCCAACAAGAGATCAATCACTCGTGAGTCATAAGCAGAGAACAAGAAGCATCGAGGCAACTAGCAGATGCAACGAGCACAGAGTGACGCGAGTCGTGAACCAGAGAGGACGATTCAGCGAACCAGAAAAACCACGATCAAAGACAGCCACGAGAGAGAACCATACGACCTACGAAGCAAGGAGCTTCGATCGATCGTGAACCAGAGAGGGAAACGACGAACCAGAAATAAGAGGCTAAGGTTTCGAACATAGCTCTGATAACATGTAAAAATTCTGAAGAATTTCTGTATATTCAATTGTGTTTCAATACAATGTGTACATCTGATATATATAGTAATTCTAAACCTAATCCTAAATAGGAAATAAGAATAAACCTAAACCAATCTTAAATAGGAAACAATATTCACACAATATATACTATATTAATATTATTCTCACAATATGAAGGAGTTAAGATGTATTATTATTTATTAGTAAATACTTGTGAGTGTTTGTGAAAGAGTCGAGTTATATTATAGCCTGCTCATCATTGTTTTTGAAGTCCGATGAAACAAATTTCAACGGAATTTGCCTAGTGTTGTTTGATGAATGGGCAGAGATGCTTGAGACTTTGGAGCATGAGGCCAAAGATGAAACCTTGTTAGCATTTTCTATGATGTAGAGGCTCTTTTCCACTTGATCATGTGTTATTCTTTCTTGATTGATGGTAATATATCCATTTTTTTAAGTCACTTTTTATATAATCCTGAAGTAAATTGAACGAGTGTACTTTTTGTTGCTATGATCTGTCACTCATGAGATATGCCTTTGCTGCCCTTCTGGACAAGATTCATGTCAACCCGCAGAAATTGATCATTTTGTAGCTTGTTGGAGACTAGGGATAAACAATTACAAGAAAAAGCTACATTTAAGAATGTTAGAAATCTGATAAGTAAAGCAAAAAGAACATGGTTGTGGTTTCTTATCTCTATTATGTACATCATTTGTACTGCTTTATACAGGCTTGGTCTGTGTTGCGCTCAGCTTTAAAATGATATTATTTCATATATATCTTAAGTTGCTACTGGTCCATGGCATGTATTTTCCAATGAAATGCATCATGTGGCCTTGTAATGGTCTGCATGAAGTGACTACTTTTCTTTATTCATTGCAAATAACAATTTTATTAATTGGTTAGGATGGCTAGTTTGAGATCAGTGTAAAATCCTGGTAGAGGTGGAGTCTCTGTTAGACACATTTCCCCACCAATAAATACTCTCTTAGAAATTAGTGGCTTGCTTTGGAAAAGAAAAAAGAAATGGAAACTACAAATAAATCCACTGTTTTTATGCTCAGTTTTATTTGGATTTAAGATAACATATACAATTTGTATATAAAAAATATATATAGTTAGTAATTGAAATAAACTTCATCTTTCAAGTTATAAATTTCTTTTCGTAATTATTTTCTTTACTTCTTGTATTAATTCTGTTAAAAATGGTATGCAGGTTGATGACATGAACACCACTTCCCATTGGATTTTCCCAAGTTCAAATCCCAACACTTGGCATGCTTCTGCATGTAATGCCAGATTTGAAATGGTAAGTATTGTATTTATTAGTTTTTTGCAAAATTAGCTAAGTTTGATTTCTAGTTTTCCATAAACAAGTCTCAACATTGCTAGATTCTAATGTAACCAGCTGCATCACTATCATTCAATCTGATAGCAATCTTCTTTAGAGCTCAGATATGATTGCATGACATCACACGTGTCAATGTAATTAATAGAGTTATGTAATTGTGTTGAGCTATTGTTTCCACTCCTATTCTAGCACTCAGCCCAAGATGTGTATTCCTATTAGGGAGTCTCCTCATGTTATGTGTTCTCATTTGGAAAGTTTGACCTATGTTACATGAACTTTTCTAAATTTGTGAAGTACTGGTGTTAGGCACTTGATAATTGGGTAAAGCTATAGGATATAGTGCGTGTGAGATATAGTTGAACCTGCACCTGATAAGAATTTCTAAGTAGTTGAGTTTACTATTTAATATAAGCCTCATGTTTTATGCATTACATGCCCTATGTTAGCTTGTGAACACCTTATGAAGTAAAAAAGTTTTTAATAAATATGAAATCCAGGAGTGTTCTTGACATGGGAACTAGACGAACCCAACACTTAGAATGACACCCGCATTTGAAGTCCATGTAACAGCGTCTGACTGCGTAGACAAGGGTATAAATGGATGTAGTTGAGCCTGTGAGTATCACCGATGTAGGACAAGTGTACTTCCTACAATTTAAGTCACCAAAATGAAGAGATGGACAAGAGAAGAAAGGAATATCCAGGAGAAAATTTTGGCTTCTTTAGGGTTGGTAAAATATTGATAAGATGTAAGAAAATAATAGGGTTTTGGAGTTCAAACTTGGCAAGATTGAGCAAGGTTGTTTTCACTGTTTTAGACTGTGAACAATGATGTGAAAAGTAAATTTAGGTGTGTAAGTTGCTTTGGGTTGCTAGGATTGATCTTATTTAAGAAGGGAATGATTGGACTTTTCAATATAGAAATGGTTTTAAATATCTGCTGGTACATCGTATTGGCCGATCTTTATCGAGTTTTTGTTCTTCCGATATTGATACACCCCTGGTATACAGGTGGGAATGAAAATAAGATGTGTATTGGACGACTCCCGATACATATCAGTTCATAACCAATTCATGTGTTGATTCACGACCAATATGATCAGTTCATAGCTAATATGACCGGTTTGGCTGCTATAAAGCCTTTTTTTTTTGTGGCTAATGATTTAACAAAAAAAAATTCATGACCATGTCACCCGACTCCCGATACATATTGCTCGATACTTCCAATACCATTACAAAATCTCTTGATACTTCTATTTAAAACCTTGAATATACGTTATATGAGTGAAAAACTGAAGTTCAAATCTAGTAGCATCGTATAGTGCAAAAATAAGAAGAAGAGAAAACTAACCCTCTCAGGAGTTAGGAAACATCACACGACCACAACACAAATTCTCATTAAATAATTCTATTGAATCAATGAGATTGCAAATATATTTATAGGCCAAAAGACTCTCCTACTTCTATAAAGATTAGGACTCCAATTTAGAAACTAAGAATATTTGGTGTAAAATAAATTGATAGAGATAGAATATTAAATCTAGTAGCATCGTATAGTGCAAAAATAAGAAGAAGAAGAAGAGAAAACTAACCCTCTCAGGAGTTAGGAAACATCACACGACCACAACACAAATTCTCATTAAATAATTCTATTGAATCAATGAGATTGCAAATATATTTATAGGCTAAAAGACTCTCCTACATATCCTACCATCTCTCTTAAGTATCCTTCGCGTATCCCTCCCGTGTTCGAAATTTAAAAAAAAAAATCAGGTACTTAGTTATTGTATCCGATTTGTATCCCGCCGTATCAGATGCATATCCGTATCTGATACGTATCCAAATCCAATACTCGTACGGCACCTTTTTTAGAGTATTTGTGCTTCACAGTAGGTTTGTCAAATGAATGGACTTGAATGAGCCTATAAACGAGGCAAGTTGAATTGTTCTGAACAACTTAGTTGATTGCATTGCACTACTAACTCATACTAGAAACGTAGAGTATTATATGTTGTTCGTAAAGCCTATCATGGCAGTAGTTTGAAATTAAAGATTAGTTGAGCGATTGCAACCAAAGTAAATGTATAAAGATGATTGTTCATTGGTCAATCTATAAACTACTTGTCATGTCAAATACTGACACGACACGACACAACATGGCACTCGTTAGACACTTCCTAACACCCGTTAGACACACGTCCAAACATGTCTTACTATTTTTTTAAAAAAATTTAGACTTTGACATGTTTTAGACACTTGGAGAATATATATGTGTCTTATCACTTAAACACATATGAAGAACATTACAAATTTGAATAAAATAACTTGAAAGTTGAAATCCAATTAGAAAATAAAAACAACGTAAATTTATACCTATTCTCTTTTTTTAGACTTCAAAAATTATTATATTTGAATTAAACATTCATATATATGACATACAATAATTATTTATCCTTGACATGTAATAAATATATAAAATAATATTTTTTACATGTGTCCCCACATGTAGTATCCGACATATTTTGAAATTCGCATGCCAATGTATTCATTTTGTGCCCATTTCGAGTCACGTGTTTGTGTCTGTGCTTCTTAGGATACAGAGATAGCCAAGCCCTCAACTAAATATGCATAGAATTAGGGTGGGTGTTTCTAAATGCACTAAAAAAATATTATTGGACACCCCACATTGTAAGAAACTTTTTAATACCATTATACCCCAAGTCAAATTACCAAAAAGGACAAACCATAATTCTCTTCAAACCCATTTCTCTCTACACCCATTCTCAGCCACCATTTTTATCTTTCCAGTCACTGCCACTACCACCTCTGGTAGCCATTCCAGCCCCCTCCTCAGCTCCTCCGCCACCCCTAACCTCTCTCCACCTCCTACTGCCACACCCCAGCCCTTCCCCGCGACTCTCTCTCTCTCTGTCTCTCTATGTGTTGTTGCTAGTGGGTGGTGGGGTTAGGGTTTGCGAGGGAATTGAAGGCCGGGATGCATATAAGATCAAGTTATTAGCTCCCTTTTATAGGTTACAAAAGCAACTTCAGATTATAATCACCATCAATTCTTTTATTTCAGAAGATTGAATGTGGGGGCAAGATTAAATATGATACTCAATAGGATCAAAAGCAGCAACAACTTAATCTAGTCAAGATCCACTTGGTCTACTTCCCCATATTATGTATGACCTACATCACTCTACTAACTACCTCATGTTGTACTTCAAGATATCATAAGATCATCTAGAATTAAAGGATAAAGCAGTATTTAAACAGAACTTCTGGGTGATATAACAAAATTATGGATTTGGTAGATAACTGTATGCAGAATGTACATAGCTTTGTCAAAGAATTCTAAGTGAAGGGATCATACAACACATGCTAAAGTCAATGCAGTTGCAAATAGTGATCCTCCAAAGCCATCTTGGAAACCAACGGCTGCCGCAAGAGCAGTGACAGTTGCAGAATGGGAAGATGGCATCCCACCAGATCCAACAAGTCGCTTGAGATCCCATCGTCTTTCCTTATACCTGCAAATCTATGAAAGATTAAGACTCTTAGGATGAACTAATTATAATTCAAACCGGACCATTCTAGATACAAGTACAAGCAATCAAGATCAAAATAGCTAAAACTAAATCTACCAAGCTAGAGAAATTTCCTTGTAGATTTGTTTGCAGTGATATTCCTCTGCATTTTATTTATTGATTTATTTATAAGAAACACGTAGACTACCGTGTAACCGTGTTAAACAAAAAAAGACAATAGTGCTAAGCAAAAACAGTCAGATTCAAATTTTTGGCGGTCTTCCTCCCTTATATACGCCATTTCCTTCTTCATTTCGTCTTTACTGATTTTCCTTCATCCTTGCTGATCCAGATCTTCTGCCCTTCCTTTCTTGCCATTACTGAGTTTGTGTTCGAGGAAGTAGCCACTGCTCTCAACTGGTAAGTTCTTCAACCCCTTTTGTTGTTCTTTGACTGGTGAAGTGGAGGTGGTAGTGGTGTAGTGGGTTAGGTTTAGTGGAGTAGGTTTAAGTGGGTGAAGTAGGTGGAGAGTATGTGGATTTAGTGGGTTAGGTTTAGTGGAGTAGGTTTAAGTGGGTGAAGTAGGTGGAGAGTATGTGGATTTAGTGGGTTAGGTTTAGTGGAGTAGGTTTAAGTGGGTGAAGTAGGTGGAGAGTATGTGGATTTAGTGGGTTAGGTTTAGTGGAGTAGGTTTAAGTGGGTGAAGTAGGTGGAGAGTATGTGGATTTAGTGGGTTAGGTTTAGTGGAGTAGGTTTAAGTGGGTGAAGTAGGTGGAGAGTATGTGGATTTAGTGGGTTAGGTTTAGTGGAGTAGGTTTAAGTGGGTGAAGTAGGTGGAGAGTATGTGGATTTAGTGGGTTAGGTTTAGTGGAGTAGGTGAGGTGGTAGTGGTGTAGTGGGTTAGGTTTAGTGGAGTAGGTTTAAGTGGGTAAAGTAGGTGATAGGTTTTAACATTTGGATACTGCAAATATTCAAGACCAACTCTGACCGTGACTTATAATTCTACTCCAACCATGATATCAATTCGAAATAGGAAACCTTGACCCTTTTAGCCTCTATGACTATTCTAGACATAATAAAAATATTATTTAATGATCCATTTAATAATTTGACCAATAGGAAAACCCATGGACGACATCTACAGCCTGTGTCCAGAAAAATTACGAATTTACCTAAATAACCCAACTACGAAACACTACCATGGATACTTTTTGGACCAAAATGGCTTCTCAATGATAGTGGGACACATTGCCTTTGATTTAGGCTTACTTGTGTGGTCATGCAATAGATGTTGCATCAATCACAATGCTTGGGATGAGCTGAGATGATTTTAATGAGACTGTGTTGAAGCTTGGCTTATCAGAAATCACAAATTTTGCATGCTATTCAAGCTTGGCTTGGACACAACTTATCAATCAACTGGGAGTG